CTTCATCCTGTGATGGGTCGAAGGCGAGGATGGTCTTAATAAAGGCTTTCATATAGATGTTGAAAAACCGTGCGGCGACAGATGGATTCCGCGAGATTGTGATCGCTTGTTGAACATAATCCGGCACGTCCTCGGGCAGAAGAGCGTCAATGTCAATTTCGCTGCCTGCAAGAAATTTTACCAGCGGATTGTATACATCAGCAGGGTTGATTGTGATGTAAAAACTAGGTAGACCTTTCTCGATCATAAGGGCTCGAATCTCGTTCCGCATAACCAACTTGGACTGAGACGATCCAGGGACGCAGGAATTGACTAGGTTAACTTCTTTCATAAGGCGCAGAACACGACGTTCTTCAGCATTGTGGGCAGTGGTAGAGTCTCCAGAGGCAATACGTTCGGCCACGATATGCACTGTAGCAGGAGACACCGTACCAAACTGTGCCGCAATTTGGTCAAAACTTGCACGACCAGCCTTCAAGTGAGTCCTGAGGAGTAATGCACGACGTTGAACCATGTTGAAGGCTGTGAACAAGAAGGAATAGTGCTCTTGAAAGCGGCGGTCTGCTAGATTGAATAAATGTTTGATATGCCGTTTGAAACCAAGGGCAGTACGCCGAGATTTATCTTCAAGGCCCCCGAGCCCGTAAGGGAACAGAGTGGGATACATCATGGGAAAGAGGTGGGGATTTTTAAATTCGTTTGCTGGATTTGGATCATGCGGAATTTCAACGTAGTTGGATCCTGGCTTCCTAAGATGGCGCAAGGCAGCCGCCCGAAGTTCACGAGAGGGAGCATTGCCATCCACGTCCGTAACAACAACACTCTGGAAGGGAATCGATGGCGGAGGAGGGTTAAGAATTTCCGACAGATCAGGGACCTGCAAGGAGGGGTCTGTGGAATTTTGGGGCTGGGAGGAATCAGGAACGTAATCAGAGGTCGTAACATCGATACCGGCGTTGGGAATGATATGTTGAATATGAAACGGCAGTATTGACTCCGTTGGAAGTTGCTGGATTACCTCTTCATCTATGAGCACCTCCTTGTACAGATGGTTGTGTATTTTCAGCCAGTTGAGAGCATTTGCGACTCGCTCTTTTCGTACGATGAAAGGACGAGCTTTGTCCTTGAGCCATTCCGCTGTCGGGGGCTTTGATCCAACGAAGACAACACAAATGGGTGTTGTGACGTCTGAAATGGATGGAGGTAGGGTTTTAGCAATAGCAGACGGACGCTGTGGATAGACTATGATGTGCCCACGGACCCCGCGCTGAGAAGTTGGAAGGGAATCGTCGCCGTTCTCTTCGCGCAACTGAATTATCCAACATTTTGCCCGGCAAAGCGCGATCATTGCCTCTTCAACAACGGTCAAATTTTGAAGTTCAGCAGGGACTGGGCCGAGATAATTTCTATTTGCAACCGAAAGCGCGGGCACTCGACCGGACTTCAAAGCACTACGGCATTTAGTGCACAACACGATGACGGGTTCCATTGTTTCGGGATCTTGTTCCAAACACTCTGGGTCGATGAGAAGACTTTGATATGGATGGTTGGCGGGGAGTGGCATAGGAGGATCGGGGCAGCGGGAATCTAGCCATGGGTGAGGGTCCGTTTCGTCTTCACTCTCGACTTCAGAGGTTTCATCTGCATGAACATCAATGAATTCATCCGGGCGCTTGAGAAGATTGATGTCGAAGTCTTCGAAAGAAAGTGTATCCTTTTCGTCGAAGGGACGGTGCTCAGCACAACTACCGCAAACGAAAGTGGCAAGTGTCTCAGTGGAAATTTCAAGCTTGAAATTCGCCAGAAGCTTCTTCTTCAAATGATCCGGAACGATTTGTGGCCAGTCGGCGCGAAGACGAGCGTGTTGACGTGCCCTGGCCTTTCTGGCGCTCCCAGTAAGACTGATATTATCCTCGCCATATTTACCAGCCGTCAATCTATTCAGAAACGTCTTGACGCGCTTTCGTAATGCCTTGGTGTTGTCAGATTCTTTATATGGAATATCGTGCAACTTGAGCAGTCGTCGAAGAGGCCGAAGTTGGAGAATGGGAGCAATTTGACGGATAATATGGACTTGAAGCTGAGTCGCTGGGTCTTCGCCGGTACCAGGTGTTATTATCGAAGGGGAAGATAGCAGTTGAGACTCAACAGATGAACACGCAAGGTAAGATTGTCGCCCCTCTCGACTAATGTACAGTCCGGAGCCAACGTGATGGATAATGGATGAGCGAAGTTGTTCCACATTGGGTCTCTCGCCAACGCGAAGACCGTGAGATTGAGCCAGAGTGAGTAAGGAACCTTTGGGTAAAGACTCGATGGACTCGAAGATGACGCTAACAGGATTCGACGATGAATGTTCCGTAAGGAGTTGATGACGCCTGCTAATTAGTTCGCGATGGAGGTGAAGGGGCGAAGCATTTGCCAGGCCGAGACAAGAGAGGACAACGGCAGCATGCGGACCTGGCAAACGATCATCGGAGGCAGAGATGAGGATACTAAGTGCGGCAAAAGCCATGGTATGAGAGTCCGGGAAAACGCCGCAGAATTGCTGGCAATGACATGTATGTTGCTGCATTGTGGTGGGGTCACAGGCAGACACACAAGAGCCGGATATTAAATGAGATAAAATTGCATGCCGGGCGTTACTCACGGTCAGATTATCGTTACTGGGTACATGATGATAATGTAGCAATTTATCGAGATTTGCGGCATCCATTGTGAATAGGTTGGCGGATGGATTCGGGGATAAAAAGAGGCGCGCCAATGCGTCCGTGCCTTGCCGTTCGACAGTTGTTAGCAAGGGCATTGGCTTTGAGTAGGATCCGGATGCAACCGGCGTTGATTTCACCACTGGAATCTTTTTCGGGGCCCGGGGTATGTATGGTATAAAATCCGAAGGTTCGGACGACATGTTTTTAACAGTTTCAGAGTTCAAAGTTTCAGAGTTATATGAGGTAGGGTTTAGGGGCGAACGCCCGGATACTAGTGAACTATTATGAGTCAAGTTCGAAAAAGATTGAATGCAAGAGACTAACCAGAGTTTTGGATAAGTGGGGACACAGGGGTGCCGCCGTTATACGTGGGATGGGATGAGGATGCTGGACAAAATTGAGAGGGATAAGACAAGACAAGTCGCAGAGACGGAACGTACAGCCAACGGTCATGGGTATAGTGGAGCCGGAGGCGGCAGAAAGCACTGAGTTGGTAGCGGTGAAAAATCAGTTGGTGTCCTGGACTGGTGGATAAAACTCACACGGTACAGCCCCTGGCAAAAGAACTGGGAAAGAATTAGGAAGATATCACGGTGGGTGAGCCATAAACATACGGGATATTGGATGATCGGGACGAGAAAAGAAGGCCCATGCATCGAAGGTGTCGCCCAGGGGGTATCCAGTGTCCAAAAGCGACTCTCGGACATACGCTGCCCAATCGAGCCCCAAGACAATGTCGTGCGAGAGGTTTGGATTCACTTGACATTCGATAAAGGTTGAGGCGATCAGAAAGCCAGGAACGTTTGTGGTGACGAGAACAGAACTTCGGCCGTTGGGACGATTCAAGTGGAAGTGCAGCCCGGGAGAGATCATAGTACGCGGCTGGCGACAAAAAGCAACGCTAGCGCTGGAGACGGGAACACCTTCCACAGTGAGAGACATTGTGCGGGATAGCAAATAGTGAGAGATGTGGGGCAGCGAGGGGGCAGAGGCAAGGCAGAGGAGTTTTAATGATTCAGTTACTTGTAGCGAGACCGCTGACAGGAGGTGAACAGAAAGGGGAGATGAATTGGTGATGAGAGGGAGAGGAGAGCGACGGCATCAAAAAACGCGTCATAATTTTGCCTATACGGAGTTAAACTGTCCAAAAGAAGCGATAAAATCTGGCGCCGATCGTTTTTTTTCGTTGCCTCCAAACCCACTAAGGATAGCGGGAACCTCATCCCATTTTTGATAGCGGGGCCTCGAAATGCTATGCGGTCCGGTGCTCTGATCAGTGATCAAGACTTCAATCAAAGTGGTATGGGATACCGCCCAAGTCAAAAGTAACAAAAAATATTGAGGATATTTCAGAAGTACACTACATGAAGTATTGGTTGTCATCCAGCGGTGAGACTAACCTAACCCTAACCCTAACCTAACCTAACCCTAACTTTATCCTCGCCGCCGATGTTGGAATGGGTGGATGTCGCGGAGGCATGCCGCTAGATTCTCATGGAAGCTCGAAGAAAGATAGACAAATCAGATGGCGATTATTGTTCCGACATCAATTATTAGGGCACCTTCACCGCTTCACCCCTTCGACCCGCGCCGGCCGCCAAAAAATAAAGATTTAAACCGTTTATAAAACCGTTTGTTTACTATTTGCCCTGCTCCCTAAACTAAACCTAAATAAAAACCGTTTTAAGGGTTTAAAACGGTTTATAAATCAAAACTGTTGAAGCCTTAATCCAAAGTTGCTGTATAGAACCACAAAGACCTGCAAAGACCGCTATAGACCGCTATAGACGTTATAGACGTCATAGTACTAGTAAACAGGCCACCCCACTAGTAAGGTGGGGGGACCAGTTTCAATTTTATACACACTCAAAGACCGTTATAATAGGCCGCATGTCTATAGAAGTGCTCAGATTCATAGCCTTTATAGCGCTCATAATCGTTCATAGCACTCAAAAAATCACAATGAATTACGATAGAACCCATGTATATTGCAAGATATGAATACAAATACACCTCCCAAGCCGCAATGAGAAATGAACCTTTACCACTTTTGAACGTATGGGGTTGAAAATCTGGGGAACATCCTTCCCGAGTCACAGAAACAGATTGGCCTACTCAGATTTTTGAAAAACTAACCGTAACCATGTTTTTTAGAGCAAAAACCAATGTTGTCATTGACAGCAAAAATCCAGCACCTTGGTTTTTGAGGGCCACCGGAAATCCAGCGAGGGGAGACCAAAAAATTGAGACAAGGTGTCGGTGTAATCAAGTTAACCAGCAACGTAGAAAGGCTCAGTGGCGGTGGACTGTACTCGCTTACAATTCATGTGCCGGTCTTGAAATTTTAACCTGCGAGTCGCTCGTTCGAATCGAGCCTGGGCCCTATATCGGGCGTATATTTATATTTTTACCGCCGTTTCGTACTGAATTTTCTTTTTTTGCGAGTTATAACAAGGAGTGGTTATGAGCCAGTAAACCAGTGATGCGTGGGCGGGCGTTGGGAATTTAATTCGCTAGAGCAGCGTCAGACGGAGAAACCTGAAAAAGGCCTTCCGTGTAACCAAGTTATCCAGCGAGCAAGAAAGGCCCAGTAGCGGTGGTCTGCACTCGCTCACATTACGTCACTTCGTCCCATATATTTGCGAGTCGCTCGTTCGATTCGAGCCTGGGCCCTGGGTCGATGGTCCGTATTCCTTTGCCGCCGCTTGTAATTCTTTCGCGACGTCGTGTACCAATCGATGTTGACGATGAGGAAGTGCAGCAGAACACAGCAAGAACTTCACAGGTGCCAGCGCCCGCTGGGAATTTAATTTCCTTGAGGAACGAAGACCCAGCGAGGAGGAGCCAAAACCAGCACAAGAGTTGTCCATGTGGTTCAGGTTAACTGAAAAGGAATCAAGACCTGGTAGCGGTGGTCCGCACTCGCCCACAATGTTTGTGCGCCCGTTCGAAACACATTAACAAGTGAGCCGCTCGTTCAATTCGAGCCTGGGCCCTAAGGTTGAGACGAACAGCCATAGCTTTTTTATCGCTGTCTTTTGTCTCGTCAAAATACCCAGGATTGAGGCGAGGACAGGACAAGAGGACGTTGAGGATTAATTCATTGAGGAACGGGGATCCAGCGAGTGGCGCACCAGACCAGAAGAGTTGTCCGTGTAATCGCCGTAGCCAGCAGCAGAGAAAGGCCCGGTAGCGGTGGTCCGCACTCGCCCACAATGTCGAGACACTTGAAAACGCGTTAATCTGTGAGGTGCTCGTTCGATTCGAGCCTGGGTCCTAGCAAAATCTCGCGGCATTATTTTCCTCCGTTGTCCGACTTGCGCAGATTGGCACAATGGATGATGGCGGTAGAGCAGAGCGCCGGTGTCGGTAGAGCAGCGTGCTGAATTTCGTTTGATGAGTGAAGCCATAGAGATCCGACCAGGAGCAGCCAAAACGAACAGAACCATCGCCGGGGTAATCAGGTTAACCAGCAACGTAGAAAGACCCGGTAGCGGTGGTCCGCACTCGCTTACAATAAGTATTCTTCACTTGCAATGCATTACCTGCGAGGTGCTCGTTCGAATCGAGCCTGGACCCTAGGTTGGATGGACTTGCTTTTTTGCCCCCGTCTTTAATGTCTTTCGTCGAGTGAAAACAACCAGCATCGGACGACCGCGGGGAAAGTAGAGCACAAGAGGACGAAGAGAATTTAATTTGTTGAGGCAAAGGGATCTAGCGAGTAGCCAAAACGGCGAAAGAAGAGCCGCCCGCCCAACCAATTCAATCAGCAAGCAAAAAAGGTCTGGTAGCGGTGGTTCGCACTCGCTCACATTACGTCGGTTCGTCCAATATATATGTGAGTCGCTCGTTCGAATCGAGCCTGGGCCCTAAGGACAGCGCGGCGTCCATTTTGTCATAACATTGAATTTCTTTGGCTTGTTTGAGGTGTAGCATAGAGTCGACGATGGGCAGCATGCTCCTAGAACAAAGATTAAAGACAGGGCGGCAGGATCTGCAATCCAATTTAAGCACCAGAGAGGGAACAAGTGGCGCGCCAGATTGAAGTATCTGAAAAGTTGTCCGTGTGATCAAGTTATCCAGCTAGCAAGAAAGGCTCACAATATTCTCAATTCGTCGAAGCACATTAACCTGCGAGGTGCTCGTTCAATCCGAGCCTGGGTCCTATCGGTGGTGCTACCTTAATTTTGCCCCCATGTTGAATTTCTTTCGTCGGGTTGAGATATACCGGTTAATACCAGAAGACGGAAAGAATACACTGCCGGGTGTGGAGGATTTAGTTCGAGTGAGCAGCGTCGGGGGGGAAACGGCGACAGAAAAGTTGCCCGTGTAATGAAGTTATCCACCAGACGAGAAAGGCTCAGTGGCGGTGGTCCGCACTCACTCACGATGTCGCTTTATCCTCGCAACACAATAACCTGCGTGTCGCTCGTTCAATCCGAGCCTGGGCCCTACAAAAGCATAGTGTAACGGTTTGTGTCCCAATTCCGTATTGGTTTCGTTTCGTGTACAATATTAATGCCATTTGAATTCCTCGAGCTCCGACGAATTGCGGCCCGTAGACGCCCGACCTAGTAGGATCGCAGCCCAGCACGGCGTGTGGTTTGAAGGTATAGCAATGGGACTGAGGTGCACACGAGGCCGCGAGGCCGAGGTTGGTTTGCCGCCGGTCGAGCAGAATTAATCGCACGGACCAAAGACAACCGCGGGATCCACGAAAGAGTCGTCGATGCGCCAGATTGCGGGAAGATCTTGGTGGTTTCTTTGAAATTGGACATTGGGATGGCAGGATTTTGAAGGAGGTTCATCCATCGATTTCAGAGTATAGCACGGACAGACAAGGAGTGAACCACGAGGCCGAGGTCCTAGTTTGTTTGCCGACGGTCGAGAACATAAGTAGAACGCACGAGAGAGTCGAGACAGAGGAATTAATTGTTGTTGCACTGGTTCCCAACTCCGCGTCGGAGAAGCCAGTTCCTAGTTCATTTAGAATCATTGGTGCGTCGGGGTTTCGAGCATAGCAACGACGACGAGTAGACAACGAGGCCGCGGGATTCAGACCGAATTGGTTTGCCGGCGGTCCAGGATAATCGATAGAAAGAATAGCAGTAGCCGCCGGGATCCAGGAATACTTACAGCGTCCGGCGTTTCAAAACCCAAGAAGAGAGCAGAAATGAAATCGAAGCACGAAAGGCACGTTTAAAGGGCTTCATTGATCGAGTGCTGTGCTGAATTGGGATCGGCGTCGCTGGACGAAGAGCAGTGTCGCCAGAGTTGAGTGGACGTGGTCTTGAAGCAAGGGGAAGCCACGGACCGACATCCGATCTAACGCCGTAGCCAAACAGTGACAGACCACGCCTTCTGCCCTCATCCATCACTGGAGTGAAGAGTCGCGCCGTGAGTCCTCCTTCCTCCTCTCCTTTGTATTCTATTCTGTTCTCTAATCCAAACTGTTTCTGTTCAAACTAATAGCTCGTCTGTGGGGTGGCATCGATATCGCAGACGATCAGTCTAGTGGAATGTCGGCACAATCCTCGTCCAAGTCCCGGAGCGCGCAATCATTCCAGCTTCAACTGTGTTTAGTTGCGCGCCATTGAACTCGTCGGTGCTCCGCACCAGCCCGTCATGGTTAACGCCCTCGGAGACCGCCATCTTGCGTGAGTGGATCTTGAGGATGCCTGCGCAGGCCGTGTCGTTGGGCAGAGGGAACTCAATCTTGCGATCGAGCCGACCTGATCGCAGGAGTGCTGGGTCCAGGATATCGATATGAGTTGTTGCAGCGATCACCTAAATCCAGGGCAAGTGAAAAGAGACTACATTCTCGGGATGCAAACCTTGATCCGCTCATCACTGTTAAATCCGTCCAATTAGTCTACAAGCACCAGCGGCGGACCATGCAGCATGGTCCGCTGCACCTCGCGGTCACCACACTTCTCGGAATCAAAACTTTGGTGCCGATGGCGTCCAGTTCATTGACGAATATAATTGCGCACCTTCTCTTTGGCGAGGGCGAAGGCGTCGCACGAGCTCTGACCTGAAGATTTGCACTCGGCATGCCAAGGCCTTGGCAGCAGGCCACAAAGCACACGGGCGACGACAAGCGCGCACGCCCCGGACAGGCCCAAATCCGCGCCTGTCTGCGGCTGTGCGTGAGATCGTAGCTAAGGGAGAATGGGAAAGAATTTACGCACCGACCCGCGGTGTCTAAGTCATATTATTGCGGTGGGCGGAGAGTCACTTGATTTTTTGAAGATGGAAGCAGCGGCGGCGACGGAGCACAAAGAATCGAACAGATTCTTCAGCCTTGAAGTTCAGGTCATTGATCGTGCAAACTCGGCGTGAATGACAGTCTTCCGTCGTTGGTTATCGGCGACTAGAGATGGTCGCAGTAGAATTCGTTGCAAGCAAGCTCGTGCTCAGTGTTGCGTTGTCTTCCAGCGTGTGGGGGCAAGGTGTCGATCAAGGGCGCAGGAGTCGTCGGTTCTCGGGAAGAGCTAGGGGAAGCTCCAGCCAAGCACGGACAAACATCGGTGCGGTGATCCGAAGGTTCAACCACGCCGCCGTGCCCGCCATCCCACGCCCGCCACATCGGACGATGAGCGGAAGTGTCTCTTCGCTGTGACGTGCGACGCCAAGAGGACCCCCCTGAACTTTTATGTGAGTCGACTCGGCGTCGAAATAGATTTGACATGCTTCGAGATAGATTTGACTTGCGTCGAAATATATCTCGAACCTCGGTTCGAAATATATTCTGTCATCTACTTTTCCTTCTGCATACCTCACCCATTGAGATTTGTGAAGGTAAGCAGTCCCACAATATATGATTGACTTCACGAAATTTTATATGTTTTGCCCCCGTGAAGATGCAACTGATTTATTTTATAAACGGGACAGCATAGTACCGCGCACCCACACACCCACAACTAAATATGAATCGTGATATATCCGCCAACCGAGAAGAAATTTCGAATTCGCGCGCGCGTTGTGCTAAAATTCCACCTAGGGATGCAGCGTCAATCAATAGAGGCAGAGAATTTATGCCGAGGGAAAAACACGCATGTCGCCAACCAAAACCCTCTCGTCATCGAACCGGGTCTATCCGTGTGAATCGCCTTGCTCGAGTCGACTAGATGCATACGTAATCGTTCACGACGGTGCACTGCTCGATTATCGAAGAGTTGAGGTAAGTTAGCTCTGGGGTTCAGCTTACTGCAGGACCGGTACTTTCTCCAAAACGCGACAAATTGTGGGGTGCAACGTTGCACTTCAGATTAGTTGTGAAGCTTCCAAAAAAATAAAGGAATCATATCAGGAAAACCCTCCTCAGGAATTTTGTTACATTTTCAAGAAAAATTGCTCAAAATACTTCCAGTTCCTCCAATG